TTTGGGTGAAACTTTACAGAGAAAATTAGTTTTCCATTCAATAAATTAGACATATTTTGTTTTGTGACATCAGTCCTCCCATATAATAGCACTTTTCCCACTTTCTCTCTGGGTTCCCTGTTCCCATTTGTCCTTCTTTCTTGACCTCTGAGCTTTGTTTTTGGGCAAATGCTACTCTTTTGGTATCGTATGGTTGATTGTTCTGAGGATTATGTTCCACACAGATGTTATTGTTCACTTTATAATAAGAGCTCTGGTGGCACAGTGCCTAAGGCATTTAACTGCTAACCAGAAGGTTGGAGGTTCAAACCCACCAACTGCTCCATAGAAGGAAGTTGGGGCAATCTAGGAGGATGGAGCAATCTACTTCTGTAAAGATTTACCATCTTAGAAACCTAATAGGGGTTACTATGAGTCGGAATCAACTCGATGGCAGTGAGTTTGGTTTTCTTTGGTCTGTTTCACTGAAAGGTGATCCTTGAAGGTGAGTTCAGTTCCAGGTTTGATGGATGTCTGAGGGTGATAGTCTTGGGGTTCCACTATTCTCTATCAGACCAGTAAATCTGGTCTTCTATTAGAACAGTTGGTTGTCATAGCCAGGCACCATCTAGTTCTTCTGGTCTCAGGCTAGTAGAGGCTGTGGTTTTTGTGGTCCATTAGTCTTTTGGACTAATTGTTTCCTTGAGTCTTTGAATGTCTTTACTCTTCTTTGCCTTGAATAGGGAGAGGGCAATAGTTACACCTTAGATGGCTGCTCACAAGCTTGTAAGACCCCTGTTGCTACTCAAAAAATAGGATGGAGAACAAAGTAGGATGGAGAATGAGCCCAGTGACTCACTCTCTCAAGGAATTTGGCTATGGCTGAGAAGTTTTCATAACTGTGCCCCCTGTATGCTTGGCTGTATTTGCAGCACTTACAAACACATAAGTAGAAGTAGCCTCTGCAAAACCTGTTTATAATCATGAGTGTAGTTCGTTTGCCCATAGCTCTTCAGCTTGCATGTCTATCTGTGTACCCACTTGACGATTATTGTTTGTCATTAATGTTAATGAAGGATTGCGTATGTGATAGTATTGCGTTTAGCTGTTGTGCTCCTCCCAGTGTCTTCCTTTGCCTGGGTCATAGTGTGCTTCGCACCATTTCGGTTTAGGAAAGGTTTCACAGGAAGCCTCTATTCTCGGATAGTGGTGGAAACCTGTATAATTCATTGGCATGAGTTACATTCACAGCACTGTGAAATCATCATTACTGTTCATTTTCAGATGTTTTTCATCTCCCCAAACAGAAACTTGATGCCCAGTAAGCAATAGCTCTCCATTTCTCCCTCCTCTTAGCTCCTGGTAACCTCTGGTCTACTTTCTATCTTTCTGAATTTGTCTGTTCTAGATATTTCACACAAGTGAAGACATACAATATACTTGTCCTTTTGTGTCTGTTTCACTCAGCATAATGTTTTTCCAGGTCCATCCGTATTGCAGCATGTATTAGAACATCATTAATTTTTATGACTGAATGATATTTCATTGTTACGTTTCTGCTACCTTTTGCTTATCCATTCATCTTTTGATGGATACTTAGATTGTTTTTACCTTTTGGCTGTTGTGGGCAACGCTGCTGTGAACATTGTACCCCAGTATCTGTTTGAGTCCCTGCTTTCAGCTCTTTCGGTGTATACCTCAGAGTGGAATTGCTAGGTCATATGGTAATCCTTTGTTTAACTTTCTGGGGAACCACCAAACTGTTTTCCTTGTGGCTGCACAATTTTACCTTCTTACCAGCAATGCACAAAAGTTCTATTTTCTCCACATCTTCACCCACACTTAGTTTATGTTTTTTTGATGAAAGCATCCTAGTAGGTGTGAAGTATATATCTCATTGTGGTTTGATTTGTATTTCCCTAACACTACCAGGTTTTAATAGAAAGTCTCAGAACAAATTCAACCACACATGCCAACATTTATTAAACATTCATTAGAGAATGGCACAAAACAGTTTATATAATCCTTTTTGTAGTTTTTTGTCTTTTTCAGGTACTCTGCCTACTAACTTGCATGAAAGGTTTACTTCAGACAGACCTGAAAAATTCTAGAGGCAGGCTTTTGCCACCCAGGGGTTGGCACCAGACAACCAGAACTTCTTGTAAAGCAGTGAATGGCTGAATGCTGGATTATTTACTTATAATACCTCAGTGCTATCTCTAAGGATATAGGGACACAAGCCTAGCTGGATTCTTATATCCCATTTTCTTTATATCCTACTCACACAGTCCATATAATGCATAGAGTAGAGGGTTAGTGAAAAAAGAGGAAGACCCTCAGCAGAATGGATTGAGAGAGTGGCTGCAGCAGTGGGCTCAAGCACAGCAGGGATTGCGAGGCTGGCACAGGGCTGGGCAGTGTTCCCTTCTCTTGTACACGGGGTTGCTATGAGTTGGAACTGACTCAGTGGCACTACCAACAGCAACAGCTACAACATTCATATAATGGTGGGGAATGTCTTTAAAATCTTTTCAGCCATTATACTTACCTTGAGTATTTTTACAAGTGAGAGCCCATTTCTATCATTTCTATGCTAGGCAACAACTTCCTCTAGAATTGAAGTTCAAAAATTTGCTACATATATTACACTGTCTGTGCTAAAATATTTCAGAGTAATTACAGGCATCATAAGAGGCCTGTTTGCCACTGCAGATAGCTATCAGGACACATCAGCTCATTGGAAAGATATAAAAACAATAGGCTGGTAAGACTTTTAAAAAGAAGTTTTAAAATATCCTTTACAGATTCTCTTTAAAGTATCCTGACCACCTAATGTGACTAAGTGCTGTTGCCTTCTTTGGATGCAGGTAAGGTCAGTGCTAATTGAGGTGTGAATGTTACTTAGGTAGCAAGGAATGCATGGCACATGAAGATGTGAACATCCAGCACGCTCTGTGAAAAAATACTTAGAAATGTGCAGGGCATACTGTACCAACAGCAACTCCAATTCTAGTTCTTGCTCAGCTGATAACCAACTTCATTTACATGTCTGAAAAGATCATGCTGGCTTACATGTTCTTGAGGACATTTTCAGTTCTAAAAATCAGTCATCTTAAATACACTAAATGACTTTGTTACAAATGCAAAAAGAGCAAGAACTAGAAAGGATATGCCAAATATCAATAATAATTGTCTCTAAGTAATTTCATCTGGGGACTGGACATGGGGAGGTGACGAGTTATAATTTTGATTTTTCCAAACACTTTATTGACATGTATTATTTGGAAGTTTGCAATAAGCATTCATTAACTTTATATTGTTGTTGTTGTTGTTGTTATTTGCCGTCGAGTCGGCCCTGACTCATAGCGACCCCTCCTTGGGTTTCCGAGGCAGTATCACTACGGAAGTAGGATTGCCCAACCTATATTAGAAAATAATAATAGAAAATAATAACTTTTTTTCCCTGAGTTTACAAGGTTAACCACATGATCATCTATTTTAATCTTAGAGCTGTACTCTTTCTGGAGGCAAACATCATGGTCCTGTTGAAGCCCTGAAACAAATGTTATTTAATCTTCAAGCAGTGCAAGAAAGTTTCAGTCAGAATAAAACCACAGAGCCAACAGAAGGGACTAAGCAAGTAAGCACAAATTCAATTTATGAATTGAGATCTGTGACAGTTTTCTTCCTATAGCTTTTTTAGACCTATTTCTCAATTTATGTTAATAGGCATGCCGCATATGCCTATTAGAACTTTTTTTTTTTTTTTTCGGAAAATAACTTACTCATTTCTAATACTCTTAGATTTCTGCAGTGACTGACCTCTAAATAGATTGTTTATGATTATAAATGTAGCATCCTATTTAGATATGATGGTATCACAACTATAACACAGAAGGATTTTAAGAGTTGTTTCTAATGCCTTAGAAAATTAATCTGTGTGGCCCATTTTCTGGTAGTTGTTGTATTTGAAAAGCGTAGGAAAACCTTTTCAGTATTAGATTTCTGTACTAACTTTGTCATCTGAAATTTACCATGTGTTTGTTGGCTCTTCTGGGTACTCCATCACCATTCCACACTACCATGGAGTGGATTCTGACTCCTGGTGACCTCTAGGACAGAGTAGAACTGCCACATAGAGTTTCCAAGTCTGTAGATCTTTACAGAAGCAGACTACCTAATCTTTCTTTCACTGAGTGGCTGGTGGGTTTGAACTGCTGATGTTCTGATTAGCAGCTGAATGCTTTAACAACTGCACCACCACAGTTCCTCACTGGGAATACCAGGAGCTTTAAAACAAAGCAAAACAAAAACCAAACATCTCTCTCAATTTTTTGCAGATTGCCTTTGCTGGAGTACTCTAACCCTTAGCCAGGGCCTTTACAACTTTGCTTCCTGCTTGCACTGACCTTATTGGTCAGTCAGTGATGAAGCTTATGGTCTTCCACAGTCTTTTCTGATTATGTGTCCTGTCCTTGGCATAATGCGGCTTTCTAAATTTCCCAGTATACATGCTTCTTCTTTTGTTAATTGTGGTGAAAGTATACACACCAAAACATTCATCAACATGTGTGCTTTTGAATGTCTAATTTCCCAAAGAAATTCTTTACCTGGCGTGGTGTTAGGTGATAGATTATATGTCTCATCCTTTTACCTAAGGTGTTTGTGGGTTTTTCTGTTGTTTTACGTATTTGAGCTTTGCTTGCCACTTTTTGGCCCTGAGTGGGCTGTGAGCTGTGTGAAACAGATGAGAACCTTGCCCTTCAGGTAGCCACAGACAGGTCATAACAGGCAATAATTTGCAAATAAGGTTGGTTCCCCTCTGGAACCAGAGACCAGGTTCCTATCCTGGGAATGTGGACTGTGTCTTCAAGACTCGCCGAGTTGAGGAGGGGGTAGAGCAAGGGCAAATAAGAAGGCCACAAAGCTTTCCTGTCGTTTTATGCTGCCTTTTTCTTGATTAGTGTTTGCTTGGTTGCTGTTAACCTTTGACTCTTCCCCAGAGTTCTGATAAAGTTGGTTCTGACAGTTTTGGGTTGTTTCCAGTGTTTCTGTGCAGGGTGGGAGTTTGGAATTATTCAAACATTTTGCTCTCCTTTCCTCTTTTCAAGCTCACTGAGATGTAACCTTGTTCAGTCACAATTTTCAAGCTAAGATTTGATTTTTAATAAACATACACATAGAAGCAAATTTTAGGACAACTGAAAGATGAATCTAAGTAGTACTTGTAGTATTTTTAATGTGCTACTGAAAATTGTTTGCCAGAATTAATACTTTGGAAATGCAGGAAATATTCTTAATATCTTATTCATCACATTTTAAATAGCATTTAAGTTTATGATTATATAATTTCAATATTTCCTTAAATTTGCTGTTTTTAATAATAGATTTCCGAAGATGAATTTTCTAAATTGCAATTGAAGGAAAGTATGATTCCTATTACTAGGTCACTTCAAAAGTAAGTATTCTTTTCTAATTTCTATATATGTTATGGATATAGATCCATTTTAGCCATTCTTTTGATTGAAACTTGAAAGTTGCATGGTGGAATTTTTAAGTTCTTCCAAGAATAGATATACTAGGCATATTTAAGGTCAGTGCAGAGTTCTGTTAAGTCTGTACTATTTCCTATTAAAATCTTTTTAGGACCTAAATAGATACCCTTAGCCTGCAAAAGTATAGTGGATTTGAATGACCCAGAGAGATCCTCTTTTCATTTCTAAATAATAGCAATGATTTGAGATAGTCTGTGTTGGTGGCTATCCCATTCAAGAAATCTGTTTTCATGTATTTCCTCTCAAATAAATATGATAACATTAAATGTATCATTATTTCGCATATCTCCACAGAAATCAATGCTGGACTCAGTGTCCAAGAATAGGGTAAACCCTCAGCTGCTAACTGAAAGGTCAGCTATTTGAACCCACCAGCGGGAGAAAGATGTAGCAATCTGCTTCTGTAATGATTTATAGCCTAGGAAACCCTATGGGGCAGTTCTACCCTATCCTGTAGTATCACTGTGAGTGAAAATCGACTCCATGGCAGTGGGTTTGGTTTTTAAAACTGGCGTTAATCCACATATTTTATTTTTTGAGTTATATTGTTTTAAATAAAAAGCAAGGAGAATCTTTCCTGTAGTCATGGTATTGGTAGAAGAGAAGACTCTCAATTTATGGGTTTGGTTGTGTGAACATGAAGTGCTCTCAGAAGATGGAATAACTGAATTTGGGAAATACTAAGAATAATAATTTTACTATGGCAGCACTCTCTCTCTTGGCTAGAAGTAGAGCTAAACAAGCACTGTCTCCCTTCTATCCTTTCAGAATTTGCATAGGACTCTGTTGTATAACCAAAATCCACTGCCATCAAGTCAGTTCCAACTCATAGCGACCACTGTTGGGTTTCCAAGGCTATCAATCTTTATGGCAGTAGATTGCCTCATCTTCTTCCCACAGTGTAGCTGGTGAGTTTGAACCACTGACCTTCTGGTTAGCAACCAAATGCCTTACCCACTGTGCCACCAGAGCTCCTCTGCTGTGTGAGGAAGTGGAGAATTAGTGAAACATTAGACATGTCAATTGTCACAATATATACATCTTTTTTTTGTTTGTTTGTTTACATAGTTTAAAAAAAGAGATTTAAGTGTGATTTTTTTTTTCTCCCTCTACTTAATTTATGAGAGCAGTGGCAGGGATCTCAAGTAAGCAGAGGGACACAGGCCCAGGGACACAGGCCCCACACCCAAGAGGCAGAAAGCGGAGAGGTTTTGAACAGCTGAAGGAGAAAAACTTGTTTGTCAGTTTGTCATACTGTGGTGGCTTGTGTGTTGCTGTGAGGCTTGAGGCCGTGCCACCAGTATTTCGAATGCCAGCGGGGTTGCACATGGTACACAGATTCCAACTCAATTTATAGACTGAGACAGACTAGGAAGAAGGAAGAGGCCATCTACTTCTCAAAGAATTGGCCAGAAAAAATCTTAATGAATAGCAAAAAAGTACTGTCTGATACTTTATTGCACAACTTTATGAATAGCCCAAAAACATTGTCCAAAACAGTGCAGGAGGATGAGCACTTTAGGTCAGAAGGCTCTCAAAATATGACTTGGAAAGAGCTGCATCGTCAGAATAAAACCAACCTTACTAATACGGATAAAGTAAAGCTTTTAAGACCTCCATTTGCTGGCATGGCACAACTCAAGTTGAGGAGAAACAGCTTCAAACATCCGTTAATAATCGGAATGTGGAATGTATGAAGTATGAATCTAAGAAGGTTGGAAGTTGTCAAAAATGAAATGGAACACATAAAGATTGATATCCTAGGCATTAGTGAGCTGAAATGGACCAGTTTTGGCCATTTTGAATCAGACAGCCAAATGATCTACTATGCCAGGAATGACAATTTGAAGAAAAGTGGCATGGCATTCATCATCACAAAGGATGTTTCATGATTTGTTCTTAAGTACAATGATAGTACAATGTTCTTAAGTCAGTGATAGGAGATTATCCATACACCTACAAGGAAAACCAGTTAACACTACTGTTATTCAGATTTATGCACCAACCAACAAAGCCAAAGATGAGGAAATTGAAGATTTTTATCAACTTCTGTAGTCTGAAATTGACTGAAGGTGCAATCAAGATGTGTAAATTATCACTGGTGACTAGAATGCAAAAGTTGGAAACAAAGAAGAATCACCAGTAGTTGGAAAATTTGGCCTTGGTGACAGAAATAACTCTGGAGATCACATGATAGAATTTTGCAAGACCAACGTCTTATTCATTGCAAATAACTTTTTTCAACAACACAAATAGTGACTATACATGTGGACTTTGCCAGATGGAGTACACAGGAATCAGATTGACTACATCTGTGGCAAGAGGCAATGGAACAGCTTAATATAATATCTTCAGCCAAAACCAGGCCAGGGGCTGATTGTGGAACAGACCATCAACTGCTCATATGCAAGTTCAACTTGAAGTTGAAAACAATTAAAACGAGTCCACAAGAGCCAAAATTTGACCCTGCATATATCCCTCTTGAATTTAGAGACCATCTAAAGAATAGAATTGATGCGTTGAATACCAGTGACCAAAAACCAGAAGAATTGTGGGATGACATCAAAAACATGATCCATGAAGAAAGCAAGAGGTCATTAAAAAGACGAGAAAAGAAGAGAAGACCAAACTGGATGTCAGAAGAGACTCTGAAACTTGCCGTTGAGCAGAGAGTAGTAAAGGAGATAGAAGAAATGACAAGATAAAAGAGCTGAACAGAAGGTTTCAAAGAGCAGCTCGAGCAGACAAAGCCAATTACTATAATGAAATGTGCAAAAACCTGGAGTTAGAAAACCAAAAGGGAAGAACACACTTAGCATTTCTCAAGCTGAAAGAACTGAGAAGAAAATTTAAGGCTCGAGTTGCAATATTGAAAGATTCTATGGGCAAAATATTGAATGATGCAGGAAGCCTCAAAAGAAGATGGAAGGAATACACAGAGTCACTATACCAAAAAGAACTGGTCGATCTTCATCCATTTCAGGAGGTGGCATATGTTCAAGAACCAGTGGTATTGAAGGAAGAAGGCAAAGCTGCACTGAAGGAATTGGTAAAGAACAAGGCTTCAGGGATTGATGGAATACCCATTGAAGTGTTTCAACAAACGGATGCCCCACTGGAGGCACTCACTTGGTTATGCCAAAAGATTTGGAAGACAGCTACCTGGCCAACTGACTGGAAGAGTTCCATATTTGTACCCATTCCAAAGAAAGTTGATCCCACAGAATGTGGAAATTATCAAACAGTATCATTAATATCACATGCAAGTAAAATCTTAATGAAGATAATTGAAAAACGTTTGCAGCAGTATATTGACAGAGAACTTCCAGAGTTGCAAGCTGGATTCAGAAAAGGACATGGAACAAGGGATATCGTTGTTGATGTCAGATGGATCTTGGCTGAAAGCAAAGAATACCAGAAAAATGTTTACTTGTGTTTTATTGATTATGTAAAAGCATTTGATTGTGTGGATCATAATAAATTGTAGATAACACTGAGAAGAATGGGGATTCCGGAACACTTAATTGTACTCATGAGGAACCTGTACATTGACCAAGAGGCTGTCATTCAAACAGAACAAGGGGACACTGCATGGTTTAAAATCAAGAAGGGAGTGCGTCAGGGTTGTATTCTTTCCCCGTATTTATTCAATCTGTATGCTGAGCAAATAATCCAAGAAGCTGGATTATGTGAAGAAGAACGTGGCATCAAGATTGAAGAAAGAATCATTAACAACCTGTGATACATTGATGATACAACTTTGCTTGCTGAAAGTGAGGATGACTTGAAGCACTTACTGATGAAGATTGAAGACTACAGTCTGCAGTATGGATTACATCTCATTATTAAAAAAAACAAATATCCTCTCAACTGGACCAATAAGCAACATCACGATAAATGGAGAAAAGATTGGAGTTGTCAAAGACTTCACATTTTTTGGTTTGACACCAATGGAAGCAGCAGTCAGGACATCAGACAATGTACAACACTGGGCAAGATGGCTGCATAGGACCCCTTTGAAGTGCTGAGGAGCAGAGATACCTCCTTGAGGACTAAGGTGGGCCTGACACAAGCCATGATATTTTCAGTCACCTCATATGCATGTGAGAGCTGGACAATGAATAAGGAAGACCGAAGAACAATTGATGCTTTTGAGTTGTGGTGCTGACAAAGAATGCTGAAAACAAAACAAAAAAAACAAACCCACTGACATGGAGTCAGATCCGACTCATAGTGACCCCTCCTTGGGTTTCCGAGACAGTATTACTATGGAAGTAGATTGCCTAACCTTCCTTCCGAGGAGTGGCTGGTGGGTTTGAACCTCTAGCCTTCTGGTTAGTAGTCACGTGCCTTAGGCACTACGCCACCAGAACTCACACAAGTACCATGGACTGCTAAAAAACTAACAAATCTGTCCTGGAGGAAGTGCAGCCGGTATGCTCCTTGGAAGCAAGAATGGGCAGACTTTGTCTCACCTACTTTGGTCATGTTATCAGAAGGGACCATTCCCTGCAGAGGGATGACATGCTTGGTAAGGTGGAAGGTCAGTGAAAGAGGGAAAGGCCCTCAACAGGATAGATTGACACAGTGGCTGCGGCAATGGGCTCAAGTATAGGAAGGATCATGGACCTGGCACGGAACCAGTCAGTGTTTTGTTCTGCTGGGCTTAGGGTCTCTATGAGTTGGAGATGACTCGGCAGCACCTAATAACAACAACAACTTAATTTATAATCATCTTATTGAAAAACGTCTCTTTGTAGCTTGCCATAGTTCTTGGATATAGTGTTCCCTACTTGTTAGGATTTAGTGAATGATCGTGATTTAATGAGCATTAACCAAAGGCTAGTTTTCTCTGTGATTTTGAGTATAATTCATTTGATCTTCATAATCCTATGATGTAAGT